CACTTATTTGTAGTTTCTAATTATCTAGGCACAGAAATAGTAAAAGCAATTTCAATTGATCTCCATTATTGTATGCATATGTCTTAGCATGATTTAAAAAAAAAAAGAGCACAAGGTATAAAAGATATATTTATACAAACACATATTGGAGACATAAATCTATAATAGGAGACTTACTCTGGGAGATGCCATATGTACAGGCATTTGGGGAGCCCCGTACCATGTTGTTGCAAACTGCACGATCAGGAAAGTTAGTCACATAATTCAGCAAAGTCCAATAGATTGGGAAATAAGGGAACCAGTGCTATAACTGCCAGTTGGAGACCAAAAGTTTAAGTTGAGGAGAGGGAGGAAATCAAGTATAAGTGTTGTGGTCCAAAGGCCTAAAAGGGAAGGACTTCTAGTAGAAAAAGGGTGGAGAAAATGATTGTTCCATCCAGGAAAACGAGATGACCTTTCCACTACCATTTTGTTCCACTGGGTCTTTCAACAGATTGAATGATGCCCACCTGAATGGTAGGGTGCTTTGTAATGCACCCTGACAGAACCTCTGGTCATCTCTTAGCTGAGTCATACTGACACATAAATTCAATATAAAGTTAAAAAATAAGGTGAATGCTAAAGTTTTATTTCAAATCTTGTAACCGTAAAAGATATTTTGCCATTAATTCGGATGAGAATTGCCCCTCACTTCTAGTACACTTAACCTTGATGCTTGCCACATTCTAAATCAGTTGTGGAAATCTCCTTTGCTGAGTGTCTTTAGTGGGCCTGGTTTCAATAGATTCATCATCATTTTCACTTGACAAATAGCAGAATTCACATGGCGCCAGATTTGGTGAATAAAGTGGATGAGGACACTGGAATGATTTTACAAGCTTTCCTTTCTGTTAGAAGGCATTGGTGGCAACTTTCAGTGTATTCTTGACCAAACACACAAAGAATTTCTGGAACGTCTTCAGAAAGTGGCAACATTGATGGAATAGGAATGCTCACACAATAGATAGTATTTTTAGGAAGATTAATGACCATATGTCTTTTACAGTTTTACTTAAATGCCCACCATATATTGTGATCACTGTTTGATAAATACACTAGAGAGCAAAATCTGAACTTGAGTGAACATGGCACAGAGAGACACTTCAACATAGTGGAAACATGTATAATTCTGAAGCATTGAAAATTTATAAAAACAATTATCTCTTTGGAGAGTAGAATTAGTTATAAACCTATTTAAATGTCAGAAGTATTCATATGGAAATAAAAGTGAAAGTCTGAAGTTTTGGAAGAAAAATGAACCCAGTCATAAAAGTGAGACAGACACATTAAAAAATTTAATTATTAGAGGTTTGAATTTGGATAATGTCACTACAAAGATGTCTGAAAATATATTTTTGTGATACAGGGGAATTTTAAAGACAATTCTGAAAACATAAGCCAGCAAAAACATAGTGAAATTAACCAAGTTAGTGTCTTAGAAGATAAAGTGAGATAGAACTTCCAATTTTAGTAAACATGAAATTGTGGAGAAACATTGAAGAAGATAGTTCTTGACAAGCCAATAGATGGAACAGTGAATAGATTATAGGTCAGCTCTGAGAGAGTAAATATTCAGTAGATGACCCACAACAACTTTTGAGTATTCCTAACATCAGAGAATTTAAATTAATTTATATGAATAGCATATTCCTATTGAGGGATATAGTTGTCTACAAAAAGCCCAGTTTGAAGCAATATATTACAAAACATTATTTTATATATTAAAAACTAAATGTCTCACTCTCATGAAAGAGTGACGTGTGACCTTAAGACTGAGTATATTACTTTGTCTCGTGTTGTTAAAAGCAAAAGCAGCAAGTGTATTTAGCTACCTTTTGAGATCAAGCATTTATCAAATGTTGTGGTTATATAAAAGGATAAATTGGGTAAATATTAGGTTTGCTTTTTTCTTTGTGTGTTTAAAGATATTTTTGCACGTTCTCATCTTTTTTTCTTAAGCATAATTAGAAATTTAAGACAGGGAAAGGACACCAAAAGGTTCTGAGGATAAAGTTGATGGAGAGTTACAATTCAATATTGCCATTATTAAATAGAATTTAATTTCTATTTTCATAGTATATTTAATAAAATCAATAAAAATGTGAAATTCAATAAAATTCTAGAATACTTTTCATAAATAATAACAATGTCTAAATATAAACATAGAATAAGTCATAGCTAAAATGGTGACTGTCATTCAAAAGTACTATACACTTAAATGTAACTGAGTGCTTTATATGTGTGTAATAGAACTAGAAATCCTTTGAATATTTTTTCTTTATAATTATAAAGAACAGCTACCTAGGACAATACTATAATTATACATTATACACAGTAGGAAACAAGAAGAGAGAAGATACTTGCTCATGTTTCTACAACCAGTATCTGACAGAAGTGTACTATGAATTCAGGCAGTCTGACCACTATACATCTAATATCTGTCTGAGGCAGCTATAGAAACAGATTGGTGTAAAGCCGGAAATAGGTTCTCCCACTCCTTCCTCTGGTCAACTGATGCTTTTTCAGGTTGTTTTCTCCTTGTAGGCCACTAATTCCCCAGCTCCAGGGATAAGGCTGCTGTAAATCTATACTGTATTCATTCCGACTTTGCCATTTTTCACATATCAAAATAAAAATTCTGCTACTGAAAAAAATCTTAACAAATGAATCCAATAAAGTGGTTAGAGTGCAACTAGAGAGTACAAAATGTACAGAAGAAGATCTACTGTGTTACCCAACAGTTTTGGTTATGATATTCCCCAGAATAAGAAGATTTTCCCTTGTCAAAAGTAAGTCTTTTCTTCAAAGAAAGAAAAAAAAAAAAAAAAAAAGAGCTTTTGAAAATAATTCAGCTGGAATCCAAATGAAGGTAGGTAGAGACCGCCTGGTCACCCTGCTCTAGCTTCAAAGCAGCGGCAGCTTAGATGAAAGCACAGAAAGAAGTGGGGCGATTTCTCCGAGTGACGGGGGAGAAGGAATTTTCAGATATACTGCTGGGTTGTATTTATCTCTTAGGAAGCTCTCTCATTTTATTTTTTTTTTTCCAGTCCTAATATTTTGAAAAAGAAAAGAAAAACAAAAAATCAATATAGAAAAAATGTTCATCTGCAGCATTTACATCCCCATGACTTCTGATTTTTCTGTTTTACTCAGATTGCACTTTAATATCTTCTGTGTTTTGTACACTGTTTCAAATGTAGCTCAGGTTATTGTTTATTGTTTATCTCTGTTTCTCTATAAACCATTCATGAGCTCTTACTGAAAAATAATTCTTTTGTTCTGCGTTCTTGTTTTCCCTAATAATCATGTCTCAAATTAGCTAATACCACTTTTTGTTCTTTTGTTTGTGTCTTTATTTTCAACTTCTAATATGTCATAGAAGACTTTTGTTTCTATGTCAACAAAAGGTAGAAACACTTACTATCAATTTAAGGGAAAATGTAGGTAAGATTTAGTTAGCAATTTTCTGGGGAACAGAAAGGATGAAGTTACTCAGATTAATCTATGTAAAATTTACCTTGATTCCTAGATTATTAACAGGGATCTATTTGCCACCACAGTAATAACATTTATAAATAATAAATTTTAAAGCAAAGCTACCTAACATAAATACATTTTACTCTATTTTATGCCACAGTTCTTTGCATTTTTTAGTATGTAGAATATTTACAAATAAAATTAATGAATAAATATTAGTGCTTCAGCTAAATGTCTAAGAAATACAAGTGAATCATGTTTGAAAGTATTTTGTTCACCTAACAGAAGTTCTCATAAAATGTGAACTTGTCCTTCAGTGTGGAATCTATAGCAGCAGAGATAAATCTTTTATTTTTCACATGCAAGTCTTAGTAATCATACTGTTCCGCATTTTATTGCTCATTCCAGTTAACAAAATGAGAGAGGAAATGGTGTGGATACCACCTGAGTGACCTTACGGAGATGTATAGAAATGTAAATTGTGACCTATAACTGAATTTGTGAGACCAGTGGTGGATATCTTGTCCTATTATCTTTTATGTTTTTTTCTCTAACATGTTTGCAAACTCTATTCTTTCTTTCTCCATGCCAGTATGTCACTCTTACAGATCAATTTACATGGTCCATTTTCTAAGCACTCCTGTATAGGTAGGGCAGTTAGAGATTCGTTCCTAATGTGACAATTAAATGCATTATGTTCAAATACCTGAATTGCTCACATTCACTCTGATGTTACTTCTTATAGAAAGAAAGAAAAAAAATTCAAAGATGATTCATCAAATTTTTATTATCTTATTCAGGGTAAATTTCTGAATCATCTTATTAGTAAGTGAACTACAACTAAAAATTCTTATTATGAATAAATGTCAAGTTAGACAAAATAAGACTTGGTGATTGGATATTTAAAAATATAGATGTTTAAATAAAAAGCTAATGTTCTCAAATCTAATTATGTATGGAATTCATATTTTATTTTTAAAAGTTTTAATTTTTATTAGTATGGCATGACAACTTTAAACTTGTTAAAAAATTACTTAAAATATAAGCCAAAGTTTTATATAGAGTCAACAGTTAGTAGATAATGATTGTCTACTGGGGAATATGATTATCTGTATTTTATATTCTAAGCAGAATAAAAACTATGTCAACATTTATAAGCGGTTATAATTGTAAAGGCAAAATGGCCATGAGAGAGAAGTTCAAAGAATGACATAAGCACTTATGGATACAAGCCATTCATACAATTGCAATTATTCCTAAAATGATCTCTCAGTAGCTGAACTAATTAAGTTGTATATGTCTTCTAGGCTTCCTTAGACATATGTAGAAATTGAAAACCAAAGAAATTCTATTACTACCTAAATCACAATCCAAATTGTGGACAAGAACCTGGTCCCATTATGCAGTGACAATTTCATGAACATGAACACTTGCATCTAAAAATTTGTGTTGTAAACTTTTTGTTTGTTTTTTCTTTCCAATAGGGAGACCCACCTGCAGCTGCGCCCTGGGATTTACTGGGCCAAACTGTGGTAAGACAGTCTGCGAGGATTTTTGTCAAAATGGAGGCACCTGCATCGTGACTGCTGGGAACCAGCCTTACTGCCATTGCCAGGCTGAATACACGGGAGACAGATGTCAGTACTGTAAGTGGAAGCAACTTCCAGAAGCCAGTTTAATAGCATGTTTTGGTGCCTACTTCAGTAGATTCCTCATTATTCCTTCCATTATGGTCGCTTCAAATACTTTCTGTTTTTCAGGTTCAGTCCCACTTATACTTCAATAATAATTTACATTGGTCCTCGATCTTTCCTGAAAGATTTCATTCTTCTTCAGGTTAGATTCCCAGCACATTACACTAATCATTCCGTTACATATTCCTCAGCTCCTTTGTGTTCCCTTCTCTTAGGTCATATGTAGGCCTTAGTGTTTTATCTCTCCTGACCTGGAACCCCACTTAAGGAACGCAACTAAAGAAAAATGCTTAAGTTTTCCTACTGAATTTCTGAATTTAATCTCAGATAGGCTATTATTACAGTTTTTATATACTTTATAATCCACTGATTCTCCTATTCTAAATGTCTACACCCTGCTTTCGTTCTCCTCATCCCTCCAATCTCTAGCTTATCTCTACCTTTATGTTTACTATTTTACTAATTAAAGAGCTACAATATCAAGAGAGCACCCACTATGTTTTCTCCAAGATTCATTATCCTATCACAGTATGCTCATCTTTTCCATAATGCTAGGATCCCTTGCTCTACCCAAATCTTTACTACCGCTTTGTGAGCTGTTCTCACGTCTACTCCTGGGTTTATCTCCTGAGCTTGCTCCCTACCCTTCTATCTCATTAAGCATTTTTCTCTCTCCCTCATCCCTTTCTGAAATAACCTCTCCTTGTGTGTCTATCTTTCACTAGTTCCCACTTCATTTACGTGTGCTATCTCCTTTTTCCTTTTATTTAACACTAGCATTACTTTTAAATGTTATTTTCTATAATTTATCTATTTCCATTTTTCCTTGGAATCTTCTTTTTAATCTTTTATCTTCAACATTCTGATGACTTTAATGAACCCCAAGTCAATTAATTTTGCTTTATTCTTTATAATCGGTGATGAATTCCCAATTCCTATTTTGCAACTGTTTTAAGAAATTAACTTCTCTCATAAAATACATTTTAGATGTGCAAACAAGGTTAAAAACATTTCCTACATGTTTTTACAGATTTGCAAGATATCCAAATAATGATTCTGAATTTGCATTTCCAGTTAACCCTCTCCTCTGGTTTTCAGATTTTGGCTCTGTGGCAGCTTGACCTAATTCTAAGTTAATCTAGTGGGGTTTTTTTGTTTGTTTGTTTGTTTTGTTTTTTTTAACCAATTTTTTTAACCATAGTTTTTCTTATTTAATGGAATAGTTCCTAATCCTAATGTCTCTGTTCCTTCTACATCTCCCCTTTAGTTTTAAAGTACATCCAGAATCAGAAACCTCTCACTGCCTCTATTCTCACTATACTCACACAGGCTCCCAGAGTCTCTATGAATTATTACTAACTGATCTATATGCTTGCTCACTTTTTCATTAATGTCTATAGTTCAAAATATTCATAGCTGCCATTTGTATCCATATAACAAATTGTTTTCCTTGTTAATCACATTGAGATCTTTGGTCTTATCAGTCATTAATAATTGCAAGATTTCCTTTCCTTAATTATATTAATTTATTTAATTCTATAATGAATTAGATATTGTTTTAATTCTCATTTTAGAAGATAATACCAACAAGGCATAAGCAGTTTGTGAATATCCCATCCTGTTAGCAATTATGATAAGTTTTAAATCCAATCAACCCAGCTTCAGGGCTTATGCCTCCAAAAGTGACTGAACAGTTTGGTTCATAAATCATTTGATATTCCTGAGAACATCACAGAGTGCCTTTAAGCTGTTGTCATTTTGGAAAACACTTGGAACAGTACAGAATGTAACTACACGTACTAACTTACTTGAGAATCAAACATAAGACTAAATATCTTGTCAATAATATGATAGCATTATCATTTCTGAGGCAGAACGAGAACAGATTCCATTTTAACCTACTGGTTTCTTTCCAAAAGTTAATTCTCATATGAGGCCAGCCTCTCATTTTGACATGTATAGATGCCTGTGCCCTAAGTCCAGTGTCCCTATTCACATTGCTTCTCCACCTCACATTTTAAATGATGTGTATCACAGGACAATCTGTCTGAATGAATCTTTACATGCTGCTCATTTCTTCATCTCTGTCATCTCCTGCTTCACTAGAGCTGAAAATTCCAGTACATTTTTCTTCTACTAACTCAGTGATTTTCTTCTTCCTTCCTTTTGTTTTATCATTGTCACACAACTTAATGTCTCCCACACAACTAAAGGACACTACCAGCTATTATTATCCAACATGAAGACTTGCTTTACTATACAGCATAAGGTTATAATCCCTTTATTCTAATAACATTACACTAAAATCTCTTCATTATATAAATGCCAACTTCCCTAGCATTAGGAATATATCAAGCTTATACACATCTTTCTCTTTCTAAAGATCATTCTTGTACTGTTAATTAACCTCTCTTTATGAGTTTCTAATTAATTGATTTTATTCATTTCTTCTGACTGTGGTCATTGTACTTTATATTTTTATCAAGTGTATGCAATCATCCTATTTGTCTAGGGCCTCTTTGAAACCACACTTAACCAATAGAACTTGTTGAATAACAGCTACTAAACCAGTAAACAGTAACAGAGATAAATAAATAAAGGAAAGCAGATTGAAGAAAAAATAATGAAAGGACAATTACTCAAACATACAAAGCCTCCTTTCTGGTGTTTATGTGTATATAGTTAATGTAGACTTAGTGTTTACTCTTTTTTAATTTTTTTCCCCCTCTGGGTTCTCAATTAGTATATTGTCATAGAATATCAGACTATTTTCTCTTTTATTATTTTTAATTCCTTTCTAACTTAAAAACAGTATATAAATATGTGTTCTTCCAAATCACACAATCAGTAAGCTTATATTTTAACAGACAATTTAGTAGAATGACAGTTTGAGGTAGTCTGGTGCCTTATAAAAGGCTACATTATAATTTTTTATCGCTACCAGCAGTCAGAGAACTTCCCACAGTTTACTGCAAAATGCTTACTAAAATTAACCAATTAGTGTTTAGACAGAGGTTAAATAACTTGTCAAGGTCCTAAAGCAATAATATTATCATCAGAATTGGACCCCAGGAGTTGCTGATCAAAATGTCAACAAATATTCTAACAGTATGGCAATGCTGTTCTTTGGCAGTATAATAATTCTGTGGACTATGTCATTAAAATGACAAATCTTACAGCATAATAAAATTTAGATCTATTACAAGGTTCAGTGGACCCAGTGTTCTGTCAAAACTGTATCTATCACATACAACATCTTTTCTTTATAAATGAAGGAATGACAAGATGGTTCATTACGATGCCTAATTAAAGGTCCATTAGTGGGAGGTAAAACATCAGTTCTTAGTTGTGCTGAGTAAAAACATTTCACAGCTCTAATAGTAATAAAAAATCCTGAGGTCTGAAATGCAAATTAATTTTAACAACAGCAGCCCAGGGAGGAAAGACAAAGATAAATAATAGCAAAATTAAAATTCACTAAGCTTTAAGTTGTTTAAGAACAAATATAGCTCTCTTCCACACTATTCTGAAACTAAACTTCCTAGTATAAACAAAAAAAATAAGTAAATAAATAAGTATAGCGTTTTGCATTTCCATACAGGTGTTGGAAGGTCAACAATATCTGGTATTGTTTTTAGTAAATTACACTAACTTGAGAGCAAAAACAACAATTAGAACCTATTCAAATTGTGTCTTAAGAACCAGGAAGGCAAATGACAGCTTGCTGGTCCTCTATTGGTATTTCTGAAGTCCTCAAGTTATCTGCTTGGGAAACCATTATAATTTGACTAAAAGTCAAATTATTGGAATTGTACTTGTATAGCTCATTTTTACTGATTCAAGCTACTGCACTCATTCAATAGCATCTCTTGTTTAGGGAGTTAGGTGTGTCTGACAATAATCTGAAGATATAATGTATTGTGATTTGTATGAAAACTACATTCTATCAACTAAATTATTAAACAGTTAAGTGAAACTATTGCATTTAATGACATAATGTGAAACTATTGCATTTAATGACATAATGAGATTATTCTTACCTTGTTTATTTGAGTGCATCTTTGTTCCGTTCAAAGTGTAGGCAATGTGTGTCAATATTTACAATGAGTTTGCCAGTATGTCAGGCCATTATGTTAGAAGCACAAAGTCTCAGAGAATTCAGAGTTCTGTGTGACTCAGAAAATATAACGAGGTATTTCGAGGCAGTATGAGAAATTACAGAGACTACCAGAAACCACAGCAAGAAACAAAAGTCTAGCCTACAAGACGGATTTCTTGAAGGAAGCTATATCTATTTTGGGACTGGAAGATAAGCTAGCCAGATGAAAAGGAGAAACTCTAAGGGAGATAGCATATGCAAAAGTCCAGAACAGAAAGCCTTTTTAAATTTATCTATTCTTTTTCTATTTGATTGTTCAGTGGAACATATTAAGTACATACAATTCTTTGGTCACAGAGATGCATGTGATTTTATATTATGTCAACAAATACTCATGTCATCTTTGAGGTTAATATTAGTGATATTCAAGTCCCAGAAACTGACATTATGCAGTTTTCAGTAATCTTGTAGGGAACACAGTAACCAATGTGTGGCTTATGATTCTGGCTCTGAAATCATTCATCTTTTGGTACATTGTTCTGCCACTTACTATCCTGCAAATCTTGTCTGAACTTTTATGTCCTAATGATAGCAGCCAAAGTTCAAATTGCACAGTAGCACAACCTGATCTTTTAAGCCTCTACTCCATTAATGAAAGGCACAAATAAATATTTTCATTTTGTGCTGATTAAACCCATGGAAACTTATAGAGAAAAAAATCAAAGACTAACATATAATAGTATATTTTCAGTTGCTACAATAAATCTGAAGTTCAATTCAAAACACAATCTAGAGTCTTAAGGATACTGGTACGGAGAGTGAAACTATCAGTAAGAGTTCCTCCTTCACTGTT